TAGAACTAATAGAGGAAGCAATAAGACAAATAAGAGAGAACATTTCATTGACACGCCGAGATCATCCCGCCTATAAACCGGCCTGCGGGTCAAACTTTCTCACTTTCCTCAGTCGTGAACAAGATCCTTCCCAATCTTGTACCATCATCTCTCATAACTCTGGCTAATTCGATAGCAAGCTTGAATAAACTACCTCGAAGTTCGAGTCCCTCGCCAAATGCAACACTCGCTTTCTACACGCGCGCGTCGGGCTCCGTCCGCGCGCACTGCGCGTCCAGCGCCGGGCGAACGCGGCGCCAGCGCGCTCCGCGGCCACCTCACCGTCGGCGGCGGCGGCGTCGCCGTGCCACTTTCGATTGTGCTACATTCGCCGCGCCGCTGTCGCTGTCGCCGCCGCACGCGCCTTTCTCGCGCTCCCGTAAACTTGACAACGCGCCTCTAACGGAGACGCGGGCGAGTGCCGGAAGGAAGTGAGCGGAGGGGAGGGGAGCGGAGCGGTGGGGTAGAACGGGTCAGAATTGAAGAGGGGAACGGCGGGGTAGAACGGGTCAGAATTGAAGAGGGGAACGGCGGGATAGAACGGGTCAGAGTTGACGCGGAGGGGAACGGCGGGGTAGAACGGGTCAGAGTTGACGCGGAGGGGAACGGCGGGGTTGAGCGGGTAAGAGTTGAAGGGGAGGGGAGCGGGCGCGACAGAATGGAGAGGGGGAGGGGGCGGTGCGGAGCGGAGCGGGCACGGGGCTGAATAGAATGTAGCGGAGCGGCGAAGCAGAAGCAGGCGGGTGCGCCGCGACGGAAGAAATCGGGCGGAGGGTGGGTGTGGCGGGGGCGGCAGGCGACTGTCGCCCCAAACCGCGTGCGCGCTGCTATTTTCAGCGCGAGGGGCCGCCCCCGATGTGGGGTAGAGAACCGCTGCTCCAACCCCCACCACTTCCGCTAGAAACAGTCTGCGCACGCTCCCCTTTTCAACTCTCAAACCTCCCTTCCAGTTTGCTTTCTATTGCATTACATCTTTACGTTGTTATCCTTTAGTACATTTTAGTAGATTACGGTTAACATTCTGGTAGCGATGTTAGCAGTATTGGTTCACATAATTACAGGAAAAATCGTTTAATAGTGTGACAAATCTGCTGCACTGAATTTCACTGCCAGTTTTAAAACTTATTTGGTGACCAGTACATCGATATCATTCTGAGGTATTCAACGACCTTTGGGATCTATAATATCTACACTGCCGATAATTTGAGTATACAAATTCCTTATATGACACCAATTCACACATGATAGATAAAATACCAAATTGTACAGACATGAATATTTTATGACTGATACTACAAAACGCGAACTAAAAATAATTATTCCGTTTAATATTCAATGATTAGGGTTTATGCTTTAACCTACTTTCAATAAAAACAAATAATGTAAATGGGTTACTCCCAATGTAACATCAGCGAAATAACACCTTCCGATTATCACATTCACCCTAAACCGTCGCATAACACTTCTTTTACATTACGGCATTCAGGAAAACAACCAAATGCACATTTCCAACTTTAATATCTTCGGAACCCTGCCACGTGTACAGGGGCCTTCCCGTCCCGAAACGGCATGTCCACCGCCAGCCCTCGCACCCCCCCCCCACCCTCCTCCCGTTCCACTTCCGCAGCGTTCACCGATCGCCGCAGCGGCGGCGGCGGCGCCCTTTGCTCGCATGACTCGGCGCTTCCCGAGTGGCGGTCCGCGCCAGACCATTAGCGGGCGGAAAGAGCGCCGATGACGGCGGCGGCGGCGCATGGGACTGAAATATCGCAGGCGCTCGCGCATTGTTAGGCATCGACGACTCGAGAACGCGATTGTTCACGTCCGAAGCAATCGCATCGCTGAACACTCTTGCCGATTCACGAGATTGAAGGTAATATTCTCAACATTTCGTCCCGCGTCAATTTTCTGCGTGTTCCCATGTGATTCGTACACGTGATGGGACCGGAGAAAAAGAAAAAAAAAAAAAGGAAAAATCACCGTGGGATACGTAGAAAGATCACAGCAAAAAGAAACGACAATCTCGCAAAAATAAACCAAAGAAAAGCGCTAACAATTATCTTTAAAAAGACAAATACCGTAAAATGTCTTTTCTGCACGAATGTAAAATAAAACTCGCTGTTTTGGCTATAAAAGTTCATGGACAGTTCTTGCTCGCACGTGCTGAAAAACTATTGAAAGTAGGGGAATAATCCCGAAGCAAGGGAATTTGATAAATGCGAATATTTCAATATTATCGGATTCAGCGATGAAAATTAGGAATTGTCCTTATGGATTTTAATGAAACCGGTAAGTCAATCAAGTTTTAACTCGAAACAATTGTTAAAAAATAGAAAAATCAAATAGTGTGACGTACAATAAAATAAAATTTACAAATGACGAAGCACATTCAATTGGTTGAGACAGTTAAATATTCATCAGCAAATCTACCAGTCATCAAAACTAGTGGTTCAGCATCTGAAACTTATTTATGCAAATGTTCTCTACGAATGAGTTTTAAATGCAGTGTACCAAATTTAATCTTGTCATCTCCCGAGGCGTGGTCGTCGACGGCAACCCGAACAGTTTCCGAACCCACCGCATCCGGCAGAAAGACGTACCACGCGACGGCCACCGGCCCAGCGCGGGCCGGCGAGGCGGGCCACGGCGTGGCAAGGAGAGCGAGTGGAGCGGGGCGGGGCGGGGCGGGGTCCCTCGCATGTGCCTCCGCTTGGGCGAGTGACCGCAGCAGCGCCGCTGCGCCTTGCAGTCGCCTCCGCGCGCTCGCTGCCGCGCGTCCTTCAGCGCAGCCGGCCCCGCGGGGACAACGCCCGGAGACTTCAATAACAGGCGACGAACTCTGCCTTGAAGCTCGCTCACCGCGCGGCCTCTCGCTTCCTGGCCCAATTCTCCCTCACGAAAATAAACTCTCTCCCTTCAGAGAAACGTTATGGAAATCTTCACGTGCTTTGATGTTAGATAAACAATTAACGATTAATAAGTATAATGTATTGTGTCTTTTTTGTTTACTTAAACTATGTGATACTAATGTAAAGACAAAGCAATATCAAAAACTTAATCTTTTACAGTAATGAAGAAGCGAATTCTGTAGAAACACGAGAACGTATAGATTACATCACAAATCAATTTAAAAATTTCAGAGTGCAAAGACTGTCCTTTTTTGAAGTGATTAAAAGAAGAAATTCTACCTTGGAAAGTAAGCTTGATATTTGCCACCTCCCTGACGCACAGCGGAAGAATAAATATTGCTAGATCCGTATTACAAACCTCAAATTGCGATATTAATAAGTGCAAACATACTCATTTCCGATATTTAGCCCAAACAACATAATGGAAGAAAAATTGAAAAATTTTCGAAACACATTGTAAAATACTTTAATTTGCCCCCTCGGCAAACTGGTACTCCGGATATCTGCTATTAAATCGAGTTCACGGCTATTTGGGGACTCGATCTTGTGTAATAGCAACAAGCTACTTCGTTCCCGGCACCAAAATAATTTGCGGCCGGCGTTACTACTAGTTCGGCATTTTACGACTTTTACAACACCCGTCGCTAGAAATAAAACAAAATGAGACACCTGAGACGAAACTAATTTCAAAACACAAAATTCCATCAAAAAAATAAGGATACAGGTGCGGTGGAGGGGGAGGGGGCGGGAGCTGGGAGATTATGATCTCGGCGTGTGCGCGCGCGGAGTGGCAAGTGTCAGGG